ATGTTGAGTAACTTGAGTTATAAGAAGGGGGAAATGGACATTTATTGTCATGAAATTAATAAATGGCTCAGAAAGAAAGGAGTGAAGAGAATGCGAAGAAAGAAAATCATGTTGAAAATGACCTTGTACCATTGAAGTAAGAAAAGATTTTGGTGATTTTTTATTTTTTTCCTTATTCTAGACATTGACGTAGTGCAGGTGGAAAAAAGAAGGGTGAGTAGAAGAAAAAAATTTACATAAAAAATTATAAAATTTGATATATATTTTAACACAATTGATACATAAATAATTTTAATTGATTAATTAATTAAATTGAAATTAATATTTTTATTTTTAATAAATATTAATTATAAAAAATAATATTTATTATACTTTTACCCGTACCCCGAAAAATAGAAAAAAACGTAAGTAAATTTTTAAGATAAAAGAACTATAAAATTAGATTAAGTAAGGTAACTAAATTTCAAAACGTAGGTGCTAATATTATATTAAAATCTTATCTAAATTTTAACTAAAATTAGGCAAACACTTAAATTAGTGAATGGTTGGTTCAAGTTTTTAACTTCCCACCTTTTGAGTTCCGTCCACGGATCTTTGCAAGCTTGAGAAACCCTCATTAATCATTTATTTAATTCATGAACTATATGATTGAAATATATACATACTTTCCAACGAAAAATGATTACAATATACTTATACTTTCTAATTAAATAATAAAGACAATTAAACCTTAATTAATTAATAAAACAAATGGGGTAAGTTTCATTAAATTATAATTACGTGAAGGAAAAGGGAGAAGTGATCCTTTGATCAGTTCAGACATTGAAGTAGCGTAAGTGGAAAAAAAAAAAAAATTTACGTGTTTAAGTAATTTGTTGCAAGTTAAAGATAATTAATGATTTAAGAAGTCAAATTGGGTGAACTAATTTAGAATGGAGGTAGTATAAAAAGTTAAGGAAAAGGTATTTTGTAAGTGGTTTTTTTTTTAATATTTATTTTGAAATATTTATTTAAAAAATTATTTTTAATTAATATTTT